CTGCTGAATTTTTGGGAGATTCTTGAGCCATTGAAACACCCTATAATATGAAAAGACAAATTAGTATTCCTTAAATATTATCCACAATGAAACTATTAAATACTGTAGTCTGAAGGGGAAAAAAATCTCATGAACCCTGATGAGCACAATTTTATGAAACCTACCTTATGTACTCATCTGTAAGTCTAGGAATTTTAGTTTAAAAAAATTAACCCAAAAAATCTGGGTTGGCTTATCAACAGGTCAATGTGAGTATTGTACCTTAGGTTTTATGAAATAAAGGAGCATTTGCTTTTCTGGATATAGCGGTGAAAGGCAAAAACTAGGTCAGTCCTAGGTCAACCCAAAGAAACACTGCCCCACTTTATTTTCTTCACTGTGGCACCACTTTTGGCTCTTCTGAATGCCTGGGCAGAGAGATGGCAGTGGCGGTTGGCCACAAGCCACCATTGGTGTTTTTCCCTTTCCATGTAATTACCCCGACTTATTCACAATTAATAGTAAAACCATAATTTTGAGCCTAAACATGTCCCAAACTAGTGTTTCTCGCCAAAGTCCATCAGAAAATATATATTTCTGATGGTCTTAGGAATCCCTTTGGCAGAGAAGCTGAAGTGTCTTCCTTTTTGGAAACAGAGGGCAAATCCTCCCACCAAAAGCCTTCCTCCTGCTGTGATTGTAGGTGAACTATAAAACAGAGCAACTACAATTCCCAAATGTCAAGGTCTATTTTCCCCAACTCCACCAATGTTCAAATTTTTGCACACTGAATATTTGTGCCAAGTTTGGTACAGACCCATCACTGTTTGTGTCCACAGTGGTCTCTGGATGTAGGTGAACTACAACTCTAAAATTCAAGGTCAGTGTTCACCAAACCCTTCCAGTACTTTCTGTTGGTCATGGGAGTTCTGTGTGCCAAGTTTGGTTCAATTCCATCGTTGGTGGAGTTCAGAATGCTTTTTGATTGTAGGTTAACTACAAATCTCAGCAACTACAACTCCTAAATGACAAATCAATCTCTCCACCTCTCTCCAAACCTTACCAGTATTCAAATTTGGTCGTATTGGGTATTTTGTGTCAAATTTGGTCCAGTGAATGAAAATACATCCTGCATATCAGATATTTACATTACGATTCATAACAGTAGCAAAATTACATTTATGAAGTAGCAACAAAAATAATTTTATGGTTGGGGGTCACCACAACATGAGGAACTGTATTAAGAAGTTGCACCATTAGGAAGGTTGCGAAACACTGTCTTAAACTTATACATGTTATCCATTTATACCTATGTCGCAGATATCCTCCATCCAGATGATCAAAATCCTACCCTCCAAGTCTCTTCAGCAATTGAAGTTCTATATAAGCTTTAGGGCTGCAACTTGCAGCATCCCTCACTACTGACTATGCCATCCACAGCTGTCTGGACTACTCTCCAGCAATATCTGGAGGCCACAGTTGTTCACCCTCACTGTAAATCAGTGGTGCCAAACTTGTGGCTCTCCAGGTGTTCTTGGCTTCAGCTTCCAGAATTCCTGGCTACTGAGCAAGTTCCTTAGGGTTTCTGGGAGCTGGAGGCCCAAACATCTAGAGGGCCACAAGTTTGACACCTGTATGATAGTTGGTTACCTAATGTAATGACTAAGCTATACAATAGCCAATGCCACATAGTTACTGCACCAGAGAAATTTCTGGCACTCAGTTTGACTGTAGAAAAACAATTCCTCGGTCACAGAAGATCATTAAAGATAACCGCAGCAAAATAGAAGGCTAATATATCAGGTATAATTAATCTGCCATTGATTGTATAGTCTCAATATTCAGTGCCTGGAGGGCATACCAGTGCATCCTATCAAGCAATTAATACACTGTCAAGTTGCCAAGCAGAACTAGGATTTGTACTATTGCTCTTTAAATGCATACATAGGGCCAGAAGACACGGTTCTTCATGCTGTTCCCATACGAGCCTTAGGGGTCCCATAATAAGTTTGGCACTACTGATTAATCTGAACAGATGTACATTTTTGATACTGTACTTCAAAGGTATTCATTATCAGTTTATTGGCAAATCATTTCCTCTTTCACTTAACACCTGCTGGTTGTAGGAGTCTGACTCATGTAACTATAGTGTCGGTTTTCACAGGTTATTGAACAAAGATCAAAAGCCTAATGCTTTAAGCCCATAAGAATATAATACATTATTACTATCTTGGCTTATCTTAACAAAGCTAGCACATGCCCCATGGGTCACTGCAGAGCTCTCTGCCTTCTTGATTTTGTTGGTTCATGGGACAACCTCA